AGATAATTAGGCCAATAATAATAGTTGAGCGACCGTGCTAGAATCACGAAACTCGGGAATGCCTAACACCTTCTCCCGGGTTAACAGAATTCCTTACCCGGATTTCTGATCCACAGACTGTAAAACAGAGTCAACCTTTTCCTCGATTCGGGATTTGAACCGGTGACTTGGGACACCATAAATATCCCAAGTGGCGACTCTGAATTTCTTAATATAAATAATCCTGTTTCGATTGTCCTTTAATTGGAAAAACTCCCTCATGCCCTTCGGGTGTAGGAAAAAGGAGGTGTGACAGAGTGTTCATCCGGTATTTCATGTTTTTATGCTCCGGAAGTATATTGGTGATCCGTCTCATGTTTTGGATTTTAGCACGATTCAGTTAGATGATGATTTGACGTATGATATGGAGCCAGTAGCCATTTTGGAGCGTCATGTTTGAAAGTTGAGGTCAAAGGATGTAGCTTCAGTGAAAGTGCGGTGGAGAGGTCGGCCCATGGAGGAAGCTACTTGGGAGACTGAGCGGGAGATGCGGAGCAGATATCCTCACCTATTTGAGGCTTTAGGTATGTTTCTTGACTCGTTTGAGGATGAACATTTGTTTAAAAGGGGGAGGATGTAATGACCCGATCGATCGTTTCATGAGTTACCGCTCTGTTTCCCCTATTTCTGCTTCTTATTGACTTGTTCAGCTGTATTATGTGTTATTGGGTTGGTTGGTTCAGGTTTGGAAATGGTTTTGGTAAGGTTTGAGACACTTAGTCTCTTTTGAGTAAGTTTGAGTTGGAAAAGTCAATCGGATGTTAACTTATGTGAAAGAGGGCTCGAATGTGAATTCTAATGGTGCGGATAGCTTCGGGAGGTGACTTGGGACTTAGGAGAGTGATCGGAATGGGTTTTGGAGGTTCAGAGTAGATTTAGGTTTGAATTGGCGAAATTGGAATTTTGGCGTTTTCCGGTTGATAGGTGAGATTTTGATATAGGGGTCGGAATGGAATTCTGGAAGTTGGAGTAGGTCCATTGTGTTATTTGTGACGTGTGTGCAAAATTTCAGGTCATTCGGACAAACTTTGATAAACTTTTTTATCGAAAGCAGAATTTGGAAGTTTTTGGAATTCATAGGCTTGAATCCGATGTAAATTTGTTGTTTTGATGTTGTTTTGAGCGTTCCGAAGGTTGGAACAAGTTTGAATGAGGTTATGGGATATGTTGTCATGTTTGGTTGAGGTCCCAAGGGCCTCGTGTGAGTTTCGGGTGGTTGAACGGATCATTTCATGTTGGAAAAAGTTGCAGAAAAATTGTTGTTGGTGTTGTAGGTATTTGGCCTTCGCGTTCGCGAGAGGATCCTCACGTTCGGGAAGGGTTAGGATGTGAGGTAGTAGTATTGGACTTCGTGTTCATGATGAGGGTCCCGCGTTCGTGAAGGGTTGGGTCTGTGTTCAACGCGTTTGCGATGGTGATGTCGCGTTCGCGAAGGTTTGATTTGCTGAGGCATCACATTCACGAGGGGTCGTCGCGTTCGCGTAAGAGGATTTTTGGTCAATGATATTTTTGTGCTTCGCGAACACGAGGCTTTGACCGCGTTCACGAAGAAGGATTTCAAATCACTAGGCAGAATGTTTAAAAGGCCATTTTCGCAATTTTTGGCCTAAGTTCACCATTTTTTTACTCGGTTTTGGAGCTTCTTGAGGGAAATTGAGGAGGGAATCAAAGAGAACTTCTTGGAGGTAAAAATTATGGACTTAATACTCGATCCTATTGTGATTCCTACCTAATTAAACATGAAATTTGGGGGATTTGAAGCCTAAAATTGGGGAGTTAGGGCTTGAAAATTGGAGACCTTAATCTAGTGATTTGGGGGGTCATTCGTGGTCGGATTTTGACATTCTTAGTATGTATGAACTCGTGGGAGGATAAGGATTCCATTAATGTGCCTTTTATTGAATTTCAAGACGTGGGCCCGTGGGTTGGGTTGGACCAATTTCGAGATTTTTGGTATAATTTGATTATTTTCGCATGGGCTTTGTTCCCTTAGCATATTCTAATGTTATGATTCTGATTTTGGGTAGATTCGGCGTGAGTTGAGGTTGAGGCGAGAGGCAAAGGCATCGCAGAGTAGTATTTCATCCGGTTTGAGGTAAGTAACTATTGTAAATCTGGACCTGAGGGTATGAAACCCTGGTATTTCATATTGTTTTGATAAATGAGGTGACGCACATGCTAGGTGACGATCGTGTGGGCATGCACCGGTAGGGATTGTGACTTGGTCCGTCACGTAGCAACTATCAAGCTGCGTATTTGATTTGAAATCATATGATATCCCGTATTTTAGAGATTTATACTATATTTTGGGTTGTATGCCATGTTTGGGGCCTTGTGCCGACCTGTTTAGACCCTTAGGGGTATTTTTACTATTTTCCTCACTCTATTTATTTTGAAAGAATATCCTCAGTCGTGTTTTACCTGTTTATTGTTTAAATTCGGTTTTATCACTTTACTTATTATATGTGAAAACTGTTTGGGTTGAGCTCCCTGATTTCCACTGATATGCCCGAGTGGCTGTGAGGTTAATGACTGAGAGAGGTTGAGGACCTAATGGTGAGGATTGTATATATATCATGGGTCTGGCTGCACGCCGCAGCAATATTATATATATTATGGATCGGGCTGCACGCCGCAGCAATACTTATATGGATCGGGCTACATGCCGCAACGATATATATATTGGATTGGATTGTGCGCCGCAGCGATATGACGCTTGGGCTATAGGAGTCCCTCCGGAGTCTGTACACCCCCAGTAAGCGTAATCGACTATAAATTATGGATCGGGTTGCACACCGCAGCGGTTATTATGATTATTACTATTATGAGATATTATTGAGCCGAAGTGCTGAGTGTGAGTACTATTGACGAGAGCTGGGTCATGAGTGAGTGAGAGGCTTGCCCAAGAGGCTATATTTATGAGTGATACCTTGCTCGAGGGGCCCGTTTATGATATTTTGTTGCTTTCACTCTTCATTTTATATTGAGCCTCTGTTGAAAACTGCTAAATAAATGATTTCCGAGTATTTTTAATTGAAACTGAAGTTTTTACGAGATGGCTAGTTTTTAATTGCAGATTTTTTACTTTAAATTTCTGTTGAGACTTGTTATATGGTTTTTACTGCTCGTCACTGCACTCAGACCTTATTTACTTTAGTTACTTACTTACTGAATTGGCGTACTCACGTTACTCCCTACATCTTGTGTGCAGATCCAGGTGCCCGAGCAGCAGAGTGAGGGTCCCCAGCACTCTCAGAGTTGACCGGAGACTGCAAGGTAGGCGTTCGCATCCCTACTTTCCTCCTTCCTATCTTAGTTTTATGCATTCTTAGACTTATGATGTATTAGTTAGTCAGATTGGGTTGTATTTAGAGGCTCTTGACTTGTAACACCAGATTGTTGGGTTGTGTTGGTATATTTTTGTACTGTTTTCCGCACATTTTAGTTGATTTATATATTTCTTATGAAAATTCGAGACTTAATCAGTTTTAGAAAATGGTTTTATAAAAAGAATTCAATGTGGTTACTTTTTGGGTTGGCTTGCCTAGTGCTGTGATAGGCGCCATCACGATCGGGGTATTTGGGGTCGCGACAAGTCCCAAGAGGTACTTAGCGGATACCAGTTGGTGATTTACGGTAGGGCTGCATTTGATTCGCAGGTCTTAAAGTCACTTTTCTATTTTTGTTGTACTATTTCCATGGACAGCGTTGTACTTTTTTCAAAATATTGTATTTAGTATTATCTAGAAGCTCATGTACTTGTGACTCCATATCTTGGGATGGTTTACGTTAGATGTTGGATTTAGTCTTATTACGGTTATCTCAAATTTGCCTTTACATTATGTTATTATTCCATTGTCAATCTTTTATAGTGATTCTTTCTATTTATCTGTTGTCTGTTGATTTGTCTGGCAAGCATTGTTAAGCACCATCACGACCCCGATTGATTGGGATTTTTTAATCGTGACAGCATATAGGGGATCAAAATTTTATCAAAAAATAAGGTTTTCTCGTATGGGAAAAAAGGATTTACAGCTTGTTTCCATGAGATCCCAAATAAGTCTTTCATCAGAAGTTCCCAAATGGGTCTTGCCTCAGAATATTTTTGATTGGATATATCATTTATACATTGAGCATTTCTTCTAAGCAACTTAAATGTTTGAATCAAATAAAATTGTTCAGCTTTGCCATTGTCGCAAATCTATTATTGTATTATACAAAATAGAATTACTCAAGAGTCTTAATTGATTTCCTGTACTATTTAGCAGGTTCTAAAACAATTCTTGCATATAATGAACTTTGATTCTACTGAAGTCCATAAAAATGAATTGATATGGAAAGGAACACAGAGTAACGAGTTCTCATATAGCCTTAACTCCTTTTTCTTTTTCTTTTTTGGTTTCAAAATATTAATTAACTTGGATGTTTGAAGATGAGATTAATCCATTTTGCTTATCATACTTTGATTATGAGCTAAATATTAAAATAAAACTGAGTATTTACTGTGCACTAATCCATGTTCAACTATTGCTTTTTAACTAATCAAATTCTTACAAAGAAATCTAATTAAAATAACAATCAGTAACTACACAAATTGAAAAATTACAAAAGTTAAAAAAAAAAAAAAAAAAAAAAAAAGAACTGGATATAATATCTATTTCTATTTCTCCTATACTATAAATGGGGATAACCAGGCAGCTCATGATCAACATGTCTGCCTGGCCCATTATTATCCTATACGCCTTCTGTCTGCAGCTCAACACGTGTACCCCAATTTTGACAGGTATTAAGTCGCCGATTTCTCTCACACACTTCCTGAAAAGCTCATTTGCGAACAGCTCTTCTGCAAACACCTCTTCTCTTGATAAATACTTCAGCTCTGTCCTCCCCTCTGTCGATTGGTATTTTCTACGGGGTATTTTTTTTCTCATCTTGTATTTCTTGTATTAATTATTTCAGTCCTTCACAATATGCTAGGTATTTGTGTTTTCCTCCGAGTAGCGACGGAATTCCCATAGAGAAAGTGTAATATGTTCATAGATTTTGTTCTCTAGGTGTTTGACAAAAAATTTCAATCAGTTTTTCTATTAGATTTCATATTCATGTTCTGGTTTCATTCTTTGGTTGCCATTTGAGTAAAGTCTTTTTGGTTTCTTCCGCATACCCTTAGTTAGACTGTTGATTTGTATCACCATTAGACACGGTTAGAAGGGTAGTTATTTAAATTGTTCTATTGCGAAAACAAACTTCATACTAATGTGAAGAAGAAGACCTTGAATGAATAGCCAGTGGTCAGTAATTTTTCTTTATTGAATGAATACCTTGACACATGAACTCTGTGCTACCAAATTGTTAGCCAGTTGCTCCTAAATTTAGCACATTAATCTTCACAAAAATCATATATTCCTCAAATGGTGTATTGATTTCTCAATCAGTTGTCAAAAAGATGGGTTGTGCCGTCAAAGAATATAATATCTGACTGAAACTATATATTTTGGATTATTGCTTGGACTTCCACAGTAACTTAACCGTTAAACCAAGTAATTAGTTCCCTTATTCCTGAACTAGGGTGAGAGTATCCTTATCAGCAAAACATATGCTGTGAGGTTTAAGTCAGCATTTACCTGCTTTCCTGGAATACAAAATCCTGAGGGAGCTACTAAAAGTACTCTATATATGTTATAACAGCATCTTGTCCCACCATATAATCTTAATATCGATGAACAGAAGAAACTATTGAAATGAGAAATATGGTTTTAGCTAAATCGTTTATTTCAAAAAAGACTTACGAATTAGTAAATTAATTTAAACATGAAACTGAAAGGTTCATAAACTGCGAAAAGAGAATGCTCTTTCATTCTGGATTTTTCAGGGAAACGTTGTTGAAATCTACAAGTTTTGTCCATAGAATAGGAGGAAGAATATAATGTTTCGCCGGGTGTGTCGCTACCTGTACTAAAAGCGACTCAGCTACAGAAAAGCGGTCGCTTCTACCAAAAAAGCGAGAAGCGGGAAAAGCGGAAGAAGCGATCGCTTCTTGAAATAAACAGCCCAAACGAGTCTTTTTCAATTAAAAGACCCAAATCGAGTGAGTCTTCTGTTTTAGTCATTCTTCAGCAGCAACCTAGGGTTTTAAACCAGCCCTTTCTTCCTCAAAAAACCAACGATTTCAACAGGTATGTTTTTATTTTCATTCTTCTTCTCCTTCTTTCTTCTTCTTCTTTTTCTTTCTAAACGTCCAAAAAGCGTTGAAATGCTGGCGAATTTTTTCCAGAAAATTTCTGCCCCGTTTCTGCCCAAATTCTGCCCAGATTCTGCCCAATTTCTGCCAAATTATATATTTTTTATTCTTAGTTCTTATGTGTTATGTAGTTGATATTCTAATGGTGCCAAAAGAAGATAGGAAAGACCCGGCTTGGGCTTACTCGGCAAGAGTTAGCGAGACCAACAAGATGGCCATTAGATGTCTAATTTGATGCTACTCTTTAGCTTTTTAATTCAAATATTGAACATTTGCTTACAATTACATGTGTTGTCTGTGCCATATTTATTTTAAATTTTTTCTTTAAATTCCGCTTCACTTCAAAAAAGCTTAAAGCGGGCGCTTCTCGCTTCTCGCTTTTCGTGAAATGGGGTTGTCGCTTTTCCTCGCTTCACACCATTTTTAACACTGGCTGATAGATTTTAATTCTTGCTTCTGTCTACTCAGAGTTGATTTTGTCATGAACTAATTTCCTCGTTTACAGAGCTGCTGCAATTCCAAGAGAGAAGGGAGGGGCATGTCTTCAACCGAAACTGCCATACAATGGATTAGTTCCTGTGCTGCTGCTTTTACTCCGTTGGATAGATAGTTCTTGCACATGCTTGCTCCCTGGTAATCTAAATCTCTTTCATGTCCTCATTTACAAGGTTTGGCCCCTATTTCTCTTGTTCATTCTGAATTCTATTTCTTTACCCTTGCCCTTTCCTTCTTTTTGCAACTAATCGTAATTACATTCCATCTATATGTGGTTTATACATTAGAAGAGTCCATATGTGTGTACACTATGTGTAAATCAAACGGCATATGCCAAAAAAGAATCATCAAACTCCAATTTGCTTCTGGATTTGAAGAGTATTCAATATTTTTCTTTTCCGCACTTTATTAGTGACAATAAAAATAGTAGTACATAGTCATAATGGGAAACGATAGGAATTGACTGTGACAAAGGGGTTAAACTATTGTGCTAATAGCTCGATTCAGGAATCATATTTGCACAGATGTTACATCAACTACTTGGTAGTTTCGTGATACTTTGCTGAAAGAGGTCTCACAATTTTGAATGACTTTCGTGAAAGCTACCTTTTTTTATTTTTGTTTTTGCTGTTTGCTATTTTAAATCTGGTTATTTTGTAGGAATAGGTTTTCAAATGAATAGGATGTTTACTGTCTGATAAGTTAACCAAATTTTTCTACAATTATATATACCAATGGTACAAGTAGTTGATCATTTTAGCTCCTTTATAGCAGTTAACAAACTATGTTATTGTGCCATATATTCTTGAAATGCAGAACAGCCAATATAGATGTAAAAGGCAGTGAACAAAAAATTGAAAGGAGTATAACTTGGTTATGAGAATGGACGTTGTGCGCATAACTATTTGAGTACAATAATGTATATTTGTAAACTTTACGCGTTACATAAAAATATTACACAAGTGTAGGAAACTGAACACTTTGAATGTGTATTTAGTTACGCTTAGTTTTTTGTCTCTCATTCCGTAAGGCAGCAGTGAATATTTGCAACAAAATTTAACACTTATTAGCCAACACTGGCTCATTTAATTTAATGTAATTTGTGGTGCGTTGTTAATTTGGATTGTATAGATGATGCTTGTTGGTTAGAAAGACTAAATTAACTTTTATTTTTCCCCTCTTTGGTTTTTTAAGTCGTGAAATATGAAAGAAAACACAGGAGATTCATGTGCAGCCAGTAAGTTCTTCCAGCACTGTGAAGTAGAGGTTATTAACTCTCCCTTAATAGCGTCAATAGGACTTTTATTAGGACACGACACGTCTGTCCAACTGTAAGTATGAGTTTTCAGTTTACAACTTTTATTTTTCTATTTCTTTACAAGTCATTTTGAGCTCTTATCTGTTCAAATTCAGATCTATATGACCAATTGCATCTTAACATTACTAAAAATATCTTTTCAGTTCTCTCTGAAGTCTTTGTCCTAACTATAAGATTTACCCTCTTTTCTAAGTGATGTTACTACATTACATTTCTTTTGAAGTCATTAGTTATATTGGTATGACTTATTCATAATACTGGATTTACTATTTGTTGTTTTTGACTTGAGACTTGAATGCTACTATACATAACGACAAGCTTCCTATTTCTTCAGTTCTAAAGTGTTCAATGACAACATAGCATATTTGTCGACGTAAGTTTACGACTTTGATTTAGTACATCTAATTTCTTTCTAGCTAAGAGAAGTATCTATATTCTGAAAGAGAAAAAAAGAAGAAAATAAAGTATCTGTACAATTCTTTCCTTTGCTCCAATCGAGTTCAATGTTGCATACTCTGCACTACAAATCAGAGACTTCATTTAGCTTTTCCAGGAGTTTATGCTTTGACAGCAAGCTCAATCCCCTCAATTCAGGGATGATATGTGCTTGCAAAAAAAAAAAGACATGAGAGTTATCTATTTACATATAAACTATCTACATATTGACATGATATGTGATGCAAGGCACCTTTAGTTACTATAATTCACCATAGCTGGCGATACTTTCTCATCTCAAATGCGACTTCTTCATAGTCAAGGCTAAAACCTTTCACATAAATCTTTTTGCCGTTACAATTTGGTAAATGTACCTATGTTTTCTTGAGAAGTAAGAATCATACCTACATTCTCTGTATTCATCTCTTTCACTATTTTGGGAACCTGACTGAGAACGGTTTTCCTTTTCTCAACCTCGCAGGAATACAAGATCAGGGTCCTGCCTTTTTGCCGTGATAATTTGAAGAGCACCTTAAAATTTTGCATCAAGTACATCGATTATATCACTTTCTATGAATGGTTAGTGCATAACCTTTACTTCTGATTGATGGCAAATTATACATTCTTTTATATACACCTCCTGTTACATCTATGGAAGGATGTGCTATGTAAAATTTACATGCTCCCTACAATTTTATGTTTTAGCAGTGCAGCTAAACAACGTGATACAGCAGTATCATGTTGAATATGGGGATTAAAAGGAAGATAAAATTTTGCACACATAGTTGGATTGAAACAGGGACATTGAAGGATGAATTCCTACTCTCTGTAGTTCAACCCCGAACAAAAATGCTTATATTTGGTGACTGTTTTGTCAACCCTGAATGACATCAATAGTTTAAGATAAACTTTAATGATAGAGAACAGTCACCTTTCACACTTTTGCAGCCGCTTTGAACTTAGTTCATCGTCTTTATTACCATTGTCTTTTTTTGTTCTTTTTTTGTTTTAACATTTTTTCTTCTCCATTCATATGTGCAGATGGTAAATTCAACACATGCATTATGGTCTTGCCACCTTAATCAGGACATTTACCATGAAAACAGTCATGGTGATAAATATACATTTACGACAACCTCAATCTTGCTCTATACAACAACCTCAAAGGTGATTGCGGAACAAAGTGAAAAAGTAATGGAGTTTATAGACCAGTAGTTCTGATTATGATATAGGTACTGTATAGGGTGTCCAAAGTTGCTACAATCTTCTCCAAAAGCTGGATAGTAAAAGATAACACGGAGGACAAAAACAACACACCAAAATTCCCTGCTTTGTGGGGAATGCTGTCGAGGCAGCATGTCTTAGCCAAGATAATTGGCAGAGAAGAGGACTTTCTATTTGCAGCAGATGTTACCTGTGTGAAAACTGACAAAAAGAATCTATCAACCATTTAAACTTTTTTTGGTGTTGACTTCATGATGTCACAGAATATCAAATGATTTCTTTCAGATTGGCAAGCACAAAGAACTAATAAAGCATTCTTCTATTGTAAAATAAAAATGTATATTTCCAATCCTTCATTAAATTACCACATGTATGAACTGATACATGGCATTACATGTGCATTTACAATGTCAGATTGGTTGAAAACATTTATCGTAGTCCACAAATGTTGTCTATCTACTATAATAAAAGAGGTGATCTGCCTATTGTAAGGTTTCTCGGAGGTGTTCCTAACCTAGGCTGTGACGCTTCCCGTCGAATACATAATGTTGACTTGTACTACATAATGTTGACTTGTAGTTCGTTTACAGAGTACGAAATGTTCAACATAATGTTGACTTGTAGTTCGTTTACAAAGTACGGAAAAAACATTATCTCTCTCGATTGGTATAAGATACCAAACTGCACGAAGGAAGATGGCGTTTTTTTTTTAGACAATTTAGGCTCCTACAGAATCGATGAAGTAGGAGACCATTTACTAAATATTATTAGAAACAATTGCGCTAGTTAGATGGATAAAAATGAAAGAACTATTAAGTTTAGGGCTAAACGGGGCAGGGCATGGCATGATCTAAATGGGGCAAAGAACTAAACGAGGCAAGGCAAGGCAAAAATTTAGTAGGTGAAGACTTAACCCGCCCGGCCTTCCCCATTGCCATCCCTACTTCTCCCCTGTAAGGCTCTAAGAAAATTTTTAAACCTAGAAAATTCACCATGATCAAATCTAGCCAAACCACCCTTAAACCCAAGTCTAGTACCAGGTCATCTACCAAAACCAAGTCTGATCATACCAAGAAACAAGAAGAAACTCAAACGGAAGTCATCGAACCAACTCCCTCCACACACCTTTCTCCATCCCAAACAAAGAAATCAAGGGAACAACTAGAAAATTAGTGCAGAATATAAGCAAGGATGAGAGTGCAAAGACTGGGGGGGGGATCTTTGCCAGCTAAAACTGCTTCTAAGGTGAATCAAACACTCAATTTTTGTATAACACTGTATAATTTATATAACAGTGTAAGTATGTATAAACACCTTACTATTATACATTTTATACAAGGTTAATACATTGTTTACAACAAATATACAATAATGTTTAAAGATGTATATACATTGTTGCAAAACAAATGTTGGCTATGCAGGTGAAAAGTGAAAAACTTAGTTACATAGGTGCAATACAGTGTGTTGGACTGTGTATATGTGCAAATCTCCCTTAATTTTATTTAAAAAGATTCAAAAAATTGATGTCTATATGGAGACAGAAAATTAAATGGTTTAACTTTTTACTTTAAAACCTGTTGTTCTTTTGGGACGTGTGAGTACTAGACAGGCTTGAAGTTAGCAGATAATAAAATATGCTATATAAGAATAAAATAGGGAAACACATTCAAAATTATATGGGTTGTATGTATAGATATATATTTTTTTCACCAAAGAATGACGTTGCCCTGCCCCAAAAGTAATGGCAGGAAGAATGACAATAACCCATAAGCATCTTCTTTACCTAAAAACTAATCATGCCCTGCGCTTGACAAGTTTTAGCAGGAAGGATTGGCAAATAGGTAAGAGCATCTAACATATCTGCTGCCTGTGTAATTGCCGTGAGCTCCACGAGCTATTTCGCTGTGAAGGAAAAATGATTGTTGGCAACCTCTTGCTTTCCACAACATGAGGAAAATCAATGGTGTAATGAAGCCCGCGACTCTCGTGTCGAGAAAGAGCACTGCTAACTACCAGGTTGGCACAACAGAAGAGATTCCTCATCTCACAAGCCTCTAGTCCAACCATTGTTGGTTCCCAGCCATGCTGAAATAGGTATGTTTCCCATTCCAACTCCAACTCATTGATTCTCTTCTCAGCTGCGGTTAGTCTTGAGGTAGACCTAACAATTCCAACATATTCCCACATGATTGACTGTAGTTCTTTCCTCACTTCCCTTGTCCGACGAATGACTTTGTTAAGTACTGTATCTCCTATTACCACTGGGGCTACAGGTCGCGGCCACCAACTTGAAGCACAGTGATCAATTCTAGACACATTCACGTGATCAATTGAAGGTTGTACAGCTCTTCGTGCAAACACTAGTGCTTCAAGCAACGAGTTGCTAGCAAGTCGGTTAGCACCATGTAAACCAGTACATGCAACTTCACCTGCCACATAAAGGCCTTGCACATTAGTCTCACCCTCAAGTCCAGCACGGACTCCACCACACATGTAGTGAGCAGCAGGAACCACCGGAATCGGCTGCTGTGTTATGTCTAACCCATGGCGGAGACACTCAGCAGCTATATTAGGAAAATGAGACAGAACCTTCTCTCTGGGCTTGTGACTGATATCAAGAAGAACATACTTTTCGCCACGCTTTTTGAGCTGGTCATCTATACTTCTTGCTACCACATCTCTCGGGGCAAGCTCTGCTCTTTTGTCATACATTGGCATAAATCTCTCCATATCTAAGTTGTAAAGGATGCCTCCATCACCTCTGACAGCTTCAGTTATCAAAAAAGCATTCTCTCTGGCACTTGGTCTGTTGGGAAGGCCTTCATCAGCCAAGGCAGTTGGATGGAATTGCACAAACCTGGCAACATGAAGAAGAGAATTGTAATTAATAATGCAACCGTTGGGGATAGTTCATCAACCTCGCAAACAAAGACTTGTCTACCATCCAAAAGACGATCAAAGGAGGACCATCAATTAGAGAGCGGACTGCTAGTCGAGAAATCTTTTCTATATCAATTAAATCCCCTCAATGAAGAAAATTTGATGCCCTTTATCCTGAAAAATTCAAGTCAGATCCAATGTCACCCCGCACAACATTTTGAACATACCTTGTATTTTTAGTCAAAAGTGCAAATTCAGAATGAATTGCAGAACAGGATGCAGAAATCAAGAAAGCAAAAAATGGATGAAATCTAGATTAGCAGATTTTACAGCACAACTCACTAAAGCAGACACAGTGATATTGGACAATAAGAATGCAATGCAACTGAGGATCACTTACTCCATGTTGGAAATTACAGCTTGAGCTCGATGAGCCATAGCCATTCCATCTCCAGTTGCAACCTACAGCCAGCATGCCCACATTCAACAAATTAAAACTTTTCTGTTCCTTAATAAAGGCACAAATGGTCAAATATAAAAAAAGAATCGGGCCCCACCACCAATTAGTAGCTCCAAAAACTTATAGAAATGACCGTAAGAGAAAAACAATTGATAACGAGCATAACAGCGCCACAGTAGATGCCTAACCCAGGTTATACAACTTTGAACAATGTGTCTTGCTTTTATTGTACAGAAAAATATTGGTGTATAGAATAAGAATTTATTACCTTCATCTCTTATGAGATAAGAATCCACACTTCCAAGGAAAGGATCATCTGTTAATACCCAGAATCTTTATTGTTTCTTTTTTTTTTTTTTTGGGGGGAGGGGTAGGAGGGAAGGTCCATATTTGTCCTTGTACTTTGTGAAAAGGTCTAGATTTACCCTTGGTTTAAAGTTTGGCTCACTGGTGCCCTTAAACTTTTGGACTATATCTACCCTTATTGCTAACAGCTGATGATTAAAAATCATTTGATCTCTTTTTTAGTTAATCTCAAAAACTCAGTTTAGCACCAGAATGTGCCACATGTGACATGTCCCACACGTGGCTAATTAATAAACCTCCCTCCCCCTTTAACCCTCTCCCATTAACCCCTGCACCCCGTCGCTGCCCTTAGGCCATTTTCCCCCATTTCCCGCAAAGATCTCCATCTATTCCCCTTCTCCATTGTAACACAGTAATGCTTCCATTCCCCAACATGTTGTTGCCCAAAACCCACTTCATCTAGTCAACCTTCACCATCCAATTCGCAAACAATTGCTGCCCAAAGTCTCACCCCAAACCATTCTCCACCGTCGCCCAAAGTACTCCCTCTATAACTAAACAACCACTTCCACCTTTATCTAATCCTCTAGGCAGCAACCACCCCAACCATAATTAACCATCCCTGAAAATTTCATAGAAGTTTGAGCACCACAGAACCTTCAAAAAAAATTTTAAAAAAAAAAATTGCCAGAAAAACTGCCCTGTCTGACCAATTCTTGTCCGACTTGTTACACCTCTGCATCTGAAACCGCCAAACAACCTCACCAACCCACCAACAGCTCCCCACAGAGACTCCCTCACCGCTTCACTACTTCAACACTTTCTCAGCTAGCACCTTCCCCCTCTCAATTCCATGGTCTCACCAAAATAGAACCTTCACCGGTCACCACCATTACAACTTTACAACCCCATCAACGAGCCGCCACCCCTCTATCGGCCGTAATAGAACCTTCACCGACTTGTTCCGAAAAAATGTTGTCCCTTCTTGTCCGAACTTGTAATTTCTTCAGTTTGTAACTCTTTTTCATCACAATCCAATTCTTCAAGATGTATTCAAAATTCATGATTTCTTTTTTGAATGATTGGACTTTGTAGATGTAGTTGGGGCGGCCTTCTTTTGTTTGGCAACTCTCATTGGAGGTCGCCTAACATTTAAAAAATCACTAACTTTGTCGTCCCAACTAAATTTCCTTGTATGAGTCCTCTTACCTTTGCCGCTATGCATTGGTGATAGATCCCCTTTTCTTGCTGCCTCTGCTCTACACTGATGTAACATTGCTTCTTCCTCTCCGTCTTCATACAAGTCTCTCCCCAGGTGCACAGGTTGTGGAACATTTTGGTCGATAACAATTGTCTTCAATGCAGATTGACCAAGTGTATTTGTCACCATTGCCTTGCTTTGATGTTGTTCTATTTTTTGCAATTTGTTCCTGCTCATACTCAACATTCCAGTGCTAGAAGCAAGTAGGATTTACAGGATTTAAGGGATTAGAACTCACCATTGCATCCAAGAGTCTTCTTTCCTCCTCTGAAATATCTGGGATGGTTGTACCAATTTGGTTCTGCCCAGAATTTGTTGTTGTGACTTCTCGATCACGTAGATGAGTAGCAGCAGTATGAGTAACAACAACAACAACAATATACCCGGGTATTACACTTGTTGTTGTATGTGAAAGTAGACAAAACAAAAGAAAGAAAAATCAAAAAGAGATGAAAATATGATGTAAGCGTCAGCATTCTTATGATGTAAGCGCTTACCTCAGCATTCTTATGATGTAAGCG